CCCTCTGAGCCCCCCACCCCCCTGCCCTCGGCAGGCTCTCTGCACCAAGGTGCCTGAGCTGGTGCAGACCATCCTGCGCTGGACCATGCAGTACCTGAGCCCCCCACCCCCCTGCCCTCGGCAGGCTCTCTGCACCAAGGTGCCTGAGCTGGTGCAGACCATCCTGCGCTGGACCATGCAGTACCTGCAGGAGCACGTGCTGGCCTGGATCCAGGCCCAGGGAGGATGGGTGAGACCCCAGACCCCCATTCCTCGGGGGGCCAAAGCCCTGACCCCTCCCTGAAACCCCCACCCCCCCCCATTCCTCGGGGGGCCAAACCCCTGACACCCCCTTGTACCCCAAACCCCCCCATTCCTTCGGGGGGCTGTGTCCCTGACACCCCAAACCCCCCATTCCTCGGGGGGCCAAACCCCTGACCCCTCCCTGACACCCCAAATCCCCCATTCCTCGGGGGGCTGTGTCCCTGACACCCCAAACCCCCCATTCCTCGGGGGGCCAAACCCCTGACCCATCCCTGACACCCCCTTGTACCCCAAACCCCCCCATTCCTTATAATTGGAGCTGTCTCAAGAACTGGGATTGGTTGGAAGAGTTAATCAAGTGAATATATAAGAATGTGCCTTTATCTTGCAGTGCCTAACTACTGACCTGGGACAACAGAGAGATGCACTTGTAGAGTTTCACCCCCCAAACACTGACCAGGGAGAAAATAACTGCACCAAGCATCAGTGCAAACCACAAAAATGAGTAGCAGTAAGATGGGACCTCTCCAGGGAAGTGCCTGGCCCCCAGGTCGCTGTGTAGAGGGGCTGCATGACCCAGCTGCTGCCACGAGCTGCTCAGGGTGGTTCCCATCCCTGGAGGAGCGTGGTCAAGGTGGGAAGGTGTGGAAGAGCTTTTACTTCTGTGTGCCAGAGAGAAGTTTGATAACAGGATCCCCGTTCACCCCTGGAAGAATATTCTACCAAGGTCGTTGATACAGAAACAAAGAAAGAAGGAGAAATAAGAGAAACCTGCAACTGCCTGTTCCAATGAGCACTTTCTTTGTTTCTGTGACCAATGAGTGAAGTGTAAACTGATGAGTTTGTAAGAATGTATAAAAACCATGCAGGCTATAGTAAAATCAGTTTGAAGCCTTCTGAAAGTGGAGTGTTGCTTTGTATTGTGACTATCTTAGCTATGACAGGCAGGAGACAGGCTTGAACTCAGAACACATCTGGCTTTGTGGGTAGATGTGGCAGCAGGATGAGAGAGCAGCATGAGAAGAGCAGACCTGGGAAGAAATGATGGCCAAATGTCATGGTCACCTGTGCAGAAGGACCTGCTGGAGGTTTGGAACTGGTTTTACACTTAGAGGGGCTGAGGAGGGAAAATGGGACTGTCACATCCAAGGAAGGTGCTTGCAGCAGCTTGAATGCACCTGGGTGAAGCCTGCTCTGATACCACCAGGTTTTGGTAAAAGCCATAGTGGAATTAGGATGGATTTGCAGCTTTGAAGCCATGTGAGGATGGTGCTGAGAGGAGCTGGCAGGTGTGGCTGTGAGGCAATCCTGCCAGGCATTATTGCTCTGTCAGCTCCATGGGGGCAGTGACATCCTGAGTGGGGGAGGAAGGAGACTTGTTGGGACAGCCCGGCCTGGGATGCAGGATCTGGGTAGGAGTCTGTGCAGGCTCCTCTTCCTGGCTGCCTTCTGAGGTCAGGAGTTTGCTGCTTCTTAATTGGGCCTTTCTCACACTCCGAGGAAGTTAATTAGTCAATTCCTGAAACTTTTCAACAGGGCTGTGCTCCCTCATCTCTTCCCGTGGGATCTCCTGGCACAGTCTCAGCTGTGGGATGAGGAGCCAGCCCTGAGCATTACGCACTGGCTTTGTGGGTGAGCCCTCACCCAGCCCATGACCGCAGTGCAGGACACGGCAGGGGTGTGCCAGCGTGGACATGCAAACGAGGAAACAGAGACATCATGTTCTCCAGCATGTCCACAAGCCTGGAAAAGTGACGTAACAGCCCTCAGGTCCCAGCCCTGCTGTTTGGGCAAAGCCAGTGAGTCAGGGAACTCTGGGGAAGAGCAGAAACCTTTTGCACCGAGGCGTGCGGCTGAATTTGGGGGTGTGGGGCTGAATTTGAGGGGCGTGACGGTGAATTTGGGGGGGTCCCCGGGTATGGGGGGGCCGCTGCTCCCCCCCTTGACCCCGAGCCCCCCCCTGGACCTGCGAGGACCCCCCGAGGGATGGGGGGAGCGCTCCCAGTTCCAACCAGTCTCTCCCAGTTCCGGGGCGGCGCAAACCCGGAGTCAGCTCCTCCAGCACCCCGCAGCCCCCCCCAGCTCCGAGCAGCGGCCACCCCAAAAACACCCCGTGCCCCCCAAGCCAGCGCCTCGGCCCCAGGCCACCCCCGAAACCACCACTCACTGCGGGGGGGACACAGCGGTGGGCTGGACCCCCCCCAAATCCTGCCCAGTCACGCTGACCGCGGGGCCGTGTGACAAACGGGGACAAGGGCCAAGGGCACCGCGCCTCCCGGGGGGGCGAGGGGGGCTCGCCCCCCGCTCTCCGCCCCGCGGGGTGGGGGGGGCTGGCGATAAAAGCCCCCGGCGGACGTTGAGCGGCCGCGGCCGCGTTCTCGCTTCAACAGCGTTTGAACGGAACCGGCTGCTCGCGGCCGTCCGAACCGCTCCCCGAACCGCTGCTCCCGAGCCGCTCCGTCCGTCTGTCCCGCCGCTCCCGAGCCGCTCCGTCCGTCTGTCCCGCCGCTCCCGAGCCGCTCCGTCCGTCTGTCCCGCCGCTCCCGAGCCGCTCTGTCCTTCCCGAGCCGGTCCGTCCGTCCGTCCGAGCCGACATGGACTCCCAGATCCGCCAGAACTACCACCGCGACTGCGAGGCCGCCGTCAACCGCATGGTCAACATGGAGCTCTACGCCTCCTACGTCTACCTCTCCATGGTAGGGGGGCTCGGGACCCCCGGGCTTGGGGGACCCCCTTGCTGCGCCCCCAAACCCCCTTCCGTGCCGCCCGCCCGGCAGGGCCGGAATGCCAGGAATTTTGGGGGGTCCTCCCCCTGACCTCCCCTCCCTCCCCTCCGTCCCGCAGGGCTTTTACTTCGACAGGGACGACGTGGCCCTATCGCGACTGTCGCGGTTCTTCCTGGAGCAGTCGCGGGAGGAGCGGGAGCACGCCGAGGGGCTGCTGCGCTTCCAGACCAACCGCGGGGGCCGCTTTCTGCTGCAGGACATCAAGGTGAGCGGGGGGTAGGGGGGCTGCAGCCGGGGCCGGGGGCTGCCCGGGCCCCTCGAGTGACGCTCGGTGCCCCGCAGAAGCCGGAGCGGGACACCTGGGGCTCGGCGCTGGAGGCGGTGGAGGCGGCGCTGGAGCTGGAGAAGTCGGTGAACCAAGCGCTGCTGGAGCTGCACGCCCTGGCTGCCGAGAAGGGGGACCCCCATGTGAGTGCTGCCCTGGCTCTGAGCCCCAAATCCTCGAGGGTCTGATCTCCCCCTCCCCAGATCCTCCAGGGTCTGATCTCCCCCTCCCCAGATCCTCCAGGGTCTGATCTCCCTGTCCCCAGATCCTCCAGGGTCTGATCTCCCTGTCCCCAGATCCTCCAGGGTCTGATCTCCCTGTCCCCAGATCCTCCAGGGTCTGATCTCCCACCCCCCAGCCCCCCCAGGGGCTGATCTCCCCCGGCCATCAAGGCGCTGGGTGACCACGCCACCAACCTGCGCCGTCTCGCCGGCGGCACCTCGGCACCCGGCGAGGCCTCGGCCGGCCTCGGGGAGTACCTGTTCGACCGCCTGAGCCTGGAGGAGCGCAGCTGAACCGCCCCCAGACCCTCGTAACCCCCCGCCCCATCCAAAGGGGCTCTGCCTGCTGGGCTCTCCCAGCATGACTCCAGTAAAGGGTCTGTCTCTGCCGCCAGCTGTCCTCCCCGCGGTTTGCTTCTCCTCCCCGCAGGAACGCTGGGACTTGGGGTGGGGTTGCTGCTGTGGGGGAAGTGGCATTGCCCCTTTTTTATTTATTTATAAGAGTTTCAGGTGTTGCTGAGCATGTCGTGACCCTGGAGTGGGGTCTGAGGACCTCAGAAGGGGCTCTTTACCACACTGATACTTCAGTTGTCTTGGGACAAGTTTAGAGAATAGATCTGGCCATCCTAGGCCAGCCCAAGCTGTAGCTCCTTGCAGCTTTTGTCTGGGAGAAATCCTGTGGCATTTGCAAATTAAGGAGGCAGTAAGTGACTCGGGACCACACACCTGTGGTCCCGAGTCACTGAAAGTGACTGAAAGTGACTGAAGACACCAACGCCGGCCTTTTCCCTGGGAAACAAAACTCTCCAGGGCAGGTTCCTGATGTCAGTTTGCAGGAGGGACGTGGCACTGTCAAACCAGCCACACTTGCCTGTGGTGGCAGTACATGTAGACTGCCTTCATTAGAAGTCCCAAGGAGAGTTACGTCATTCTTATTATTAGTACTCTCCTTCACCTTACTTAATTCCATGTAAATCACTGGTTAGTACTCACCAAGAACTAATTACGTAACTTAACAGCAAATTACCCAATTTATCTAATCACGCTACCTGGACACAGAGTTGCGTTTCTTACCCACGCCTGCTGCTTTAATCCAAGGTGCCGTAGCAAATAGGAAAATGTTTGTTTTTCTCTGAAGAGTTTTCTCCTGCAGCAAGCCCTTTACCCCCTCAAATTGAAGTCAGAGGAGCTGAACAGGAGCAGCTGCTCTGAGGGCTTTTATAGCCGGTAGGATTTGCCCCCTCCCTTTTCCCGGGCCCCATCAGGGGTATGTTATGTTTGCCCAATTATCCGATCACAAATAAAAGGCCAAACAAAATTAAATGTAACAATAATTTTAATAAAATTTAAATGAAATAGTTACATTCAATAAATTGGCAGTATAATTTGGTTATAATAAAATATATTTTGGTTCGGGTAACGACGCATAAGCAAAATTACCGTGGGGTACGGAGCGCGAGGGCCTCGGGACCCCTGCCACCTCACGTACAAGCTTGCCAAGCCCAAAATTCCCCCCTTTATACTGTCTATTATCAGCATCCCCTCCTATTTTCGATTCATCACACTGGTGTCTCCACCCTCATCTTCATCTTCACCGCGCATGCGCCACCATCTTTTTGGGGGTCGCACCACTCTTTGGGGGTCGTCCAGATGAAGGCCGCTCCTCTTCCTCAGGTGTCCTTTATTTCACCTTTGGGTTACACATGCGCACCAAGCTAATATCATATATGCCAAAACCAAAATTATATAAGCCAATATAATAAATCTTGTAAATTAACATATTTCTGATTTCCACCCAAGTTTCCCCTCTTTCAGTTAATTTTAGCAAGCTTTATCTGACTCCTTTTCCTGCCTTGAACATCTGCAGAAGATAAAGGGGGGGTGGACCCTTCCCCTCCGCTTTCCTAGCTTTTTACCATTTAACCATTTTGTTATCTCCAAATATTGATTACTATATCCACATTAATTACTGTTTCAATTTTATCAGCACGAATCACACCTATTTATCACGAAACTATAAGAACAAATAAGCTGTAGCAGTAGATACGATACATACTATAAATAAACATTCATCAATATTATTAGTTTATGATATATAGAATTAGAAATATAATACATCAATAGAAGCTATAAATATAAAGGTGAATATAATTATGCACCGTGGAAATATAAAAATATTTCAATATAGCTGAAAAGAAGGCTTTTTTTGAGATTTATTAGAGATGGGGTTTTTATTTTCAATATTATAAGTAGCATAGAAATATAAATCGAAATACCGAAGTATACCATCAATATACAAAACTATTTATAAAAATACAATCCATGTCTATGAATAGTAGGAATAGACATAATGTAAATTACATAACACATCAATGTCCCCGATAAATATGCATCTGAATATAAATATGGAAAATAAGGAGTGTATTTAAATATGCTTTTAAGGAAAGGGGGCGTTTTCGGTTCCTGTTGGGTACGAGGCAGGTTTTTTGGCCTTTATTTTGGAGGACTTTTGGAAGGGATGGCGCCTGTCGGTTTTTGCCGCGTCCCTGCCCGCAGCCCCGCGCCGTGCGGCAGCGCTGCCGCCTTGTGGACAGAGCGCGGTACCGCAGCCCCCGGGCCCTCGGCCGGCGGGCAGCGGCAACGGCGCGTCTCTCTGCCGAGGCCCACGCGCGATCGCTACCTTGGGAGCGGCTGGGCCGGGACTCTCTCGACCTTCCCAAGATACGGGCTGATGGAAGTAGGACATGATGGCGAGTTTTGAAAACTGAGCTTTCCTCTTCAGCGCAGGTCCGATGGGTGACGCCGGCAGCTCGTGCACTGCCGCGGCGCTCCCCTCGGTGCCTCTCCTTCCCTCCCCGTTCCACAGGCACGAGGCGGGAGCAGCGGGGAGAGGTGGATTTGTCCTGGGCGGTACGGGAGCTCTACGTGGATAGCTGAGCCTGCCGCTCCAAGCTGCCGCAGGAGCCGAGGTCTGCCCGCACCCGTGTGCAGGTACTCTCAGAAACGTGGGCTGTCCTGAGCGGGAGCTCAGGACCTGGCAGTGCCAGCCTGGAGAACAGCAGCGACTTCCAGCCTTTTTCCTTTTGTCGGCGTTTCCAGTGTTCAGTCAGTCTAATTACAACTGGGCTTTTGCCCATCATGTTGTGAAATGCTTCGGGGGCTAAAGGTGGGGCGTGGGAATCAAAGCGTGGTCTAAACCTCAGGAGGAAGAAGGCATCAGTCGGGACAAACTCTTAACAGAAACGGGATAAAGAATATTTGTTTGCTAAATCTTTCGGCTTTGCAGCTAGCTCAAAGATCTCTCACAGTCCTTCACATTAGCAAAGGAACAAGAGAGAAGCCCTCAGCCTAACCCATTAAAAGCAGCAGCAGCAGCTTTGTGTGCTGCGGTGTGGCCGGCATTCACAGGCTGGCTTTTTTCTTTTGCATCTACCACCGGTAGAGGAAAGTTCTTTCCAAGGCGGTAGTTCCACCCTTGCATTGAAATGTGAGCAAAGAGGAACTTTCTCAGTTGGATTTGGGTTTATTCAGAGCGCTTGTAAACAGCGTTAACATAAAGATAACACACGCAGGGAGCGTGCCGTGGGTTGCCACAAGTGATAGAGGATTTTGGGACAGTGATAAGGCAGTTTCCCCTTCGAGATACTGTTTTGTTTTTTTTCCGGAAGGATTACGTGAGAGCAGAAAAGTTAGAATCGCATTGCAGTTCACCCCCCCCACCCCCCGCACAGAAAATCCCCAGGGAGGTGGAGCGCAGCAACATGGTTTTATGTGGCGCCACAATTGAGAGCATTAGTTTGGTGAGGAGGACCGAGCAGCTCCCCCCCCTTAGCAAACACAATAGTGACCTCAACCAGTATCTCCCTTTTGCAGACCACTGTCATGTGCTTGGGGACAATAACCTGTATTTTTTACAGCCAGGTCTTCTGAGCCACACTCCTCCTGCCCCCTGATCACAGTGAAAACAACCTTGTGTCCGGGCACTCTGCAAAATTCCCAGCTTAGATGCCACTGAAGCACAGCTTTGGCTTTCAGGCATCTCCTCTGCAACCTGTGCCTTGTGTCGTTTCTGCAGAGGATTTGTTATTAATTAATTGCTTGCATTTTTTTTTAATTTCCAAAGAATATCAATTGACTTTTACAGCCTCTTCAGTGCTCCCCAAGCTTCATACCACACGTAAAAGCTCATTTTCACTGCCTGAAGGTTTTTTCTGACCCGAACGATTCTGGGAATTTGGCCCGTACTTGAGCTTAAGGGAAATGCTACACATTTATTGCCTTTTGCAGGAAACGATTTGAACGTTCAGCCGCAAATTCGTCTTGTGTTACACCTTCCAGGTTCATTCCTGTTGTAATTTGCAAATGGCAGAACTGTGTTGCTATTTATTGAAAACAATAGCGCTCTCAAAATTTTGATGGGGGTGATGATTGCAGGGGTGACGATTCTGAAAAATAAGCCCTGCAAACCCACCGAGAGCTCCAGAGTTTGTAGTGCAGTTTTCTGCAGCACTGATTTATTCTCTATTTCAGTAACCATGCCCTGAGGTGCCAGGTAGGCTCAACACCAGGAGCAGGAGGAACAGACCCGAGAGATGCTTTGGGTACAGCCCAGCCAGGTTTTGTGCAGCCTGCAAAGTCAGGCCTTGCACTACAAACCGGTCTGCTGTTGCCATCTGCTGGAAAAATCCCTATTGGATATTTCCAAACGCGGGGAGGAGTACCTGCTCCGGTTACAGCAGTACCGGGGGCTTTTTCCCCTCTCGGTCTGTGCGATCAGCCCAAGACCAAGGTGTGCAGCAGGCCGG